TGACGTGAAATTTTGAAATTCTTGAGCAAATTGAATGCTATGCGTTAAAGGAGTTCATAAGATGTTTTAAATTGGTTTTGAGGATGAGGTTTACTGAGGAAAGGCTCTGATAGGGCTGTAATATCACGAGTTCTGAGCTGATACGAAAATGTCCGTTGAATAAGCTGATCAAGTGATCTCACAAATACAACGGTGTATTTTATCGAACACAGCAGGGGTTCCGTGACTAGAGTTCCAAATTCAGAGCGACTAGCTGCAAGTACGGGTAGATTCACCTGTATGTTCATTCTTGTTCGCCAGCTAAAACTTTGAGTTCTGGAGATATCTGAGGATGATGAGATTAATTTGAAAAGGTGAGAGCTCCAAAGTGGCCAGTTTGTGAAGTTACAGGCCTGCTGCATGCAAGGCTTCATTTACCTGTTGGTAAGACGTTATAGAAATGTTTCAGATGTTAACACTGTCGGTGATACTATGCGATTTGTTCGGTGCGATTTGCCTGCTTCTGAACGTCTTCATAATCGTGACTTTAATCCGGAATCGACATCGGATGCTGACAAATGTCTTTTATGTGATCGTATTGCACTGCGCATTGGTGGATTTGATTCGTGGATTCTGCTTGATTGCTTGGGGAATGCCGTATCTCCTCATGAACAACATGCCGACCATGCACGATCGTTTGCTGGCACTTAAGGTATTTCACATAACAAAACAAAAATATGCCGCTGTTTTTCGAAGAGTCGTGATGATCTTTTGATGATTTTTGATCGGTTCGAATGATATTTTGTCGAAGTTGAAGCTGAATCAATTACTTCACATCGAATTTGTATAATAAAATTTATTCCCGCAGTGTCAACACCGTTGACAAATATCNGAATTCATTGTGATTCGTTACCCTCTTCATTATAGACGATATTTTAGGCGAAAAGCCGTTCTCGTCATTCTCCTGGCGAGGTGAGTAACCGGTTGAATGGAATTCTTTCAACAATTTTGTGCTCATCGATCATGTTCACTTGAAAGCACGCACCGTCAAAAAATGGAAATGTTTCAGATGTTAACACTATCGGTGATACTATGCGATATTATTAAGGCAAAAGAATTATTAATTATTATTAAGGCAAAATTATGAAGGCAAAAGAACTAAAAATTTTCATGCACTTTGTCTTGAATGTGACTCGTAATTGCGTTGAGAATGTAGAGCATCATGAATGAGCATTATTATTTCATTTCAGTTGGGTGATAAGTTTAACGTTTGGAATGGGTTCAGTATTTTCGAATTTCTTTGAATCTGCTCATTCAATTCTGGTGCTCAACAATGGAACAACACCATTCTTGCGAAACGACACTGGCGGTAAGCCGAAGCCTTCGTCTTCAAATTGCCATCAGCAAATTCCACATTGATGCCTTATCTCTCGTATTATTAAGGCATAAATGCCTCCACAAAAATTCGCTTGTTACCGAAATTAATTCAAATTCCATCTTACAAATAACAACAGTTCATGCATAACATTTCAATGAGATCTAATAAAAAGATGTAATGAACATCAATCAGATTGAGTGCAACTTCGCAAAAAATTTGAGTGTTTGCTTTCAGAGGATCAATTGACTCGACGTCCAGCCGTATTATCTATAAATATGATCTCAATGTTAATGATCTTCATACTTTGCTATCTCTGCTTAATTATTGTTTTGGTGAGTTGTTTAGTTGCAAATGGAAACGACACGGAAAATTAGCGATCTCATCAGCGGTAAANGCAGCCGTATTATCTATAAATATGATCTCAATGTTAATGATCTTCATACTTTGCTATCTCTGCTTAATTATTGTTTTGGTGAGTGGTTTAGTTGCAAATCGACACGGAAAATTAGCGATCTCATCAGCGGTAAATGCAGATTTTTGATTACTAACAGCGAACGCATGCACATCTGAGCACATTAATTCAAAAGCATTCTCAGAAGTGCTGACAACTCGCTTAAAAGCATCTAAAGTGTTAAGCAACCGCAACACTTCACCGCTATCACACCATTACTATACATCCATTTGAGAAATGGTCATTTTCTCAGTGAAATTTTTTCGCAATGCAATCGGAAATAGCACTAAAAAGTCGAGGAAGCAGTGAATGTTCCTATTTTTTGAAGGGTTCTTTCAAACTGCAAGAACAGCGCCGAGAAAGCGAATGAAAATTCATTGAAATCATTGAGCGAGTTAATTGTGATCGAATGGTTGATCATTATTCAAAGTTAAATGCGTTAAAAGATCAACATTTTCAGATTTGCTATGGATTCATCTTGAGGACCATAAGACAATTTCATTCGGTTGATGTTAAAGGAGGTTAGCAATCTCACAATGTTTGCCTAATCAAAAGAAGTTCAAAAATTCTATGACATGTTTCATAGGATAGAATGGCTGAAATTAATTCATTAGATGCTGAATAACGATTTCAAGTAAACGTTCGATGCTTCACGGTGCCTGTCGCAGAGACAGTAATGCCGATCGATTTGCGTGGAAATTCTGTTTGAAAAGTTGGAGTTGAAGGTTCGAATAGGAGATTCGATAGTTTCAGGGCAATTCAGATCCGATGAAAGTCAGCGTTTCTCAGCATCTCAATATCGAACGAAAAAAATGAAAGAAGCCGAGCGAAGTGAATCCGTGAATCGTCGAGACTCTACGCAAACCGCAAAAACTGATCCAAATAAGTAATGGTTCATTGAGCAGTATTTGCAGAAACTAAATAACTCAGCTTATTTACGAACCTTTCAATCGTTTCAATAAGTGAATGTTTATTTCAACTAATTTAATCATCTGCACTATTGTATTATTGATACGAAGGAGTGAATTCCAAAAAAAACACACTGGATACATTGAGGTGTAGCATGGGCTCAGCAGTCCACAGCAAATAGCGAAAATCAATGAGTACTGCTGGGACTACTAAAGTCTCGCGTTTCAGCTCAGTTCATTCCTCGACCTTTCACTGAACACCTTTTTCAGAACCTATTAGGAGATCGCTGACCAACCGGGATATCATTCAATGGCTATGCTGAAACATTTTGATGTTTTACGTTCCATCGATGACTGATTGGATGAAAAATATTGTTGAAAAGAGCAAATGACTAGATGACTAGGAGATTACCCACTTCGTATAAAGTTGACCCAAATGAATAAGCAATTAAAAATATGAAAGAAATGAAACTATGAATCATGTTTATGTGATGAAGATGAGATTTTTAGCAGAAGTTCCACGAATCGACGATGGCGGAAGCATCTGATGTCAAGGCACAAGTATCTGATTGTGATCGGTTCGGTTCTCTTCGTTGATATTCTCTTCCTGTTCCCTTACTCAGGCATTCAAATGGTCGCTTTCCTTCACCTAAACAACGTCCTCACCACATCGCATCTTTCCACACTCATCAGATGGGGACTTCAGGTCAATTCTTCGACATTTTCATCACTATTCGCTTTCCAATTCATTTAAGTTTTCCGTGGGCAACGAAATTCCATTTTCATTATGAGAACTAATTTCTTTCGATTACACACCGAAGATGATGTACTCTGAGCTAAAGCGTGAACATTTTGATGAATTAAACTACTCTGAGCACTCATCCGCCGCAATAGCCTAATAAATACTTAAAATGCTTTTTGTTCAATTTTCTATAATTTTGCAAGTTTGTCTTTCAAGAACAGATAATTCAAGTCGCCAAGATGTGACAAAATCTTATACATATTAAAGTTCTGAATGAAGATTCCTAACTCAGATGCTCTACTTTTATCAAAAAACTGACTAACTCTCTCTTATCAAAAAATAAAAGAGTCACATTTCTTTCAGATCTTAATTGGTGTCCATTCCGTATGTCAACCGCTGTGTTATTTTCGTATGACCGAATTTCGTCGACTTGCGTGTTGCCAGCAGAAATTCCAACGTAGACAGTCTCGTTCATGTAGTCAGCTGCATAGGTCAGGCGCCTGTACAGGTACCACAATTTTTTAAATTTCCATATTTTATTGCGATTGCTTCCATTTTTTCCAACTCGTGTTTCTTCCTCCTTTCTCACTCTCGACATGACATGCTCCAGTCAGTCTAGTGTTCTGCTTAGGTCTCTCAAATTTCGGTATTTTATCTATCCATTAATATGGAGTCTTTCTTCAGTTTTGAATGTTTTACTTCGATTAGATTCTGCTGATCTTTTGTGATTAAAGCAGTGGTGCTCATATTGCACTGAACAGCGTTTTAAACAGTCATTTAATAAGTAATGCATCTCTGAATTTTCGAATTTAAAAGGAATTCCGTCACGCAATCAAGATAAACTAGCTTGTTTTCCTTGACACAGTCATAAAATCAGATCCTTTTGTAATTAGTGCGTAACGGTAACCATTCATTCAAGTTGTTTTCTCTATCAGGTGGTACGAAAGAAATACTGAAAGAAGAAGACGAACTTGCCGTCACAAGATCGATGGGTGACTCTCCAAAGCCCGATGATCCTTTGATAAGGCAAGGTAAAGGCATGAAACGAAAAATTGCCCTCCAAAATAGTTTCGTCTCATCGTTTAAGTTCAAAACGCTTGATCCAAACGTATGGCGAAGGTCGAATTCGATTAGATTTCGAGCGTACAGTTCGAGTAGTGGTCAGGTGAGTTCATCTTATTACCAATTCATTCACATTTCAACACTTTAAGAAACGGAATTTCGTGTTGTTCGATTGAAAATCAGATTTGGTGATGGTTTCAGAGAGAAATGATTGGAATTTTTGATTGTAATCATTGACCGCTTCGAAAGTTTCCACAATCGCTCAAACGTTTTTCGTTCTTCTGATAAATGCCATCGATATGATTGATGTTCTATATTCTGCTCTTATTTTCGATTGATTATATTAGCCATCCATCAGAGGTTTTGCATTTCAGTTGTCTTACGCTCGAAAAATAAGCGACTTAATGGGCGCTCGATCGAACGGTATTGGCCGCGCACGACGACAAGTCGCACGCTCGACCAACGATACTTCCAATAAGAGCACTGATAACACATTCCTTCGTCCTCCATCAGTGGTGTCAATACGAGACGGTCAAAATCCGTTCAGAAGAACTCACTAATAATTCATATTGGATGTACAGTGTTTGGGCCCAATGAAGAATTTTTCATGAATGCATCCGTTTTCTTACATATTGTACACAAAAGCATTCATCAAACCAATCAACAAATTCATCGTGTTCTTATGAACTGATAAACCGACGGAACACGAATATAATTATTGCAATATGATCACTGAAATTGCAATATGCAATTTTTTATAAACACTATAAAGAATACAGAATCAATTAGACATGATTGAGGATCACGGCAAAAATGAAGCACTGCTCATGTAAATGCCACGAATTTGCAACTGTTCGGCAGTTTTTGAGTACACACATCATAGTTGCTGGAATGAAAACACTGGAGTGCGAAAAAAGTTTACCAGACATGACTGAATTTATGATATGAGACAATATTTGTAATGATTCAGTGATTAGTATTGATACAAATCTGAATAGTTTCGCGGAAGGTGACTGGTTGACAGTAACAAATCATAGTAGTCATTCGTTGATCGTGCCCGNCACATCATAGTTGCTGGAATGAAAACACTGGAGTGCGAAAAAAGTTTACCAGACATGACTGAATTTATGATATGAGACAATATTCGCAATGATACAGTGCTAGTATTGATACAAATCTGAATAGTTTCGCGGAAGGTGACTGGTTGACAGTAACAAATCATAGTAGTCATTCGTTGATCGTGCCCGTCTTGTTCTGCTACCTTCAGAGAAGGCATCTCGTTCGATCAAGGGTCTATCGTAACTGCAACAACTAATATATCGCGTCCGTGCTCCGACACATCCTTCTCGACTCGTCGCAGTCGCCAAGGTTGATGGTGGAGTGATTTGCGAGAATGTTTGTGTGTCTGAATGAGATATCAAGATGGATGGCCTACTATCACTTTGGATCGGTAGCGACATCTCAGATTTAAAGTGTGGCACGAAGGCTTGTTGCCTTGATTGTTGCTGTTGCTGATGTTGCTGAGACTGTTCGCGTTCACCCATCTTGAAGCCATCTTTCATGTGTTCAATGAGAAATCGAACCAGCATTCGCCAACCAATCAATGCTTCACGGCACCGAATACCACCTAAAAACGGTACCCGGTCAATCTGCCTAAAGACATGGAGCCTAACGACAGTTTGCCTGAGGACACAGTGCCTAACGGACAGTTTGCCTAACGGACAATTTGCCTAACGAACATTTTGCCTAACAGACATTTTGCCTAACGGGCAGTTTGCCTAAAGAGCAATTTCCGATCAGGCGAAATATCCATTAAAAACCGTAAGTTAGGTAGACTGTCCGTTCGGCGAACTATCCTTTAGGCAAACTGTCCGTTAGGTAAACTATCTGTTAGGCAAACTATTGCTAGGCTAAATGTCTTTAGGCAGACTGACCGGTCACGCCTAAAAACGACACCTTCCTGATAGTTGTTTCTGCACGCAACCAAATCTTGAACCAAGTGAAAAGATTCCAAAGCATATTGTCAACTCAGAAACGTAAAACAAGCGAATACTGTGAATTCACACGTATTTACACTTACATTCGTAGGAATTTTCGCTTTACTTTGAATGCACATTATTTCTCATTTTTACCCTTCAGAATATTTCAGTTGTTAATTGATGAAAAAGGATTTCAACAAAAATAGTAACTGAATATAGATTGTTACTGAAAAGTTACCACACTGTCACACTCACCTTCCCATTCGATCGCACATTCAGTCAACGACTCAGCAAAAATATCCCAATATTCAGGTTTGAAACCTCGACTGGCATATTTGACGTGTCGATAGCCTAGCTCTCGACAATACTCTTTAACAGTATGTAAATTGTCCAAATTTTTTACGATAAAATCAAGTGAGCGTGTCATTGTCATCGATTGTTGCTGCAAAAATAATCTTCAGTTGACATCACATCAGATAAATGATCCATTAATGTTGCTTCAATTTTTCCGTACTGGTTGTTTCATCCGGAATAGTAACTGACTGTATCAGTGGGCTGAGAAAAAATGCAATTGAATTTTTCTACTGAAAAACGCTTGAAACAAACCTGGAATGCTTTATTGTATTTCAGTTCCGAAATCTTTACGTCATGTATCCCAAACAATTTCATTATTGATGGCTCATGCAGTGCAATTCTCAAATAGACTTGAGCACCTGAAACACTTTTAGAAATATTTTATTCAACTGATCTTTGCTGGGAACAAACAAACTTCAAAGCAATCAAACAGCAGCGTTTCCAATTAATTCTCGAGTAACTTCTCCAATATTCCATGCTCATCAGTACGTATATTTACCAGTGTGTGCGAATCGCATTCATATTTTGTTCAAATGAACAATATATCGCACGGTCGGTCAATCGAACAAACTTGCCCGATTTCACTATGTGTAATTTTCATTTTACTACGCTGAGAAATGTAATCTTATTCCATTTGCATAGATTGTCATAGAAACGTTGCGTTCGTTGCGTTCAACTATTACATATCCTTCATTGTGACTAATTGGCGTTATTGCATTAAGAATTTCACTTTGATTACCAACTGTAATTGGATTTTCATTAATATTAATTGATAGTTAATATTAATGTTAATAGTTCGGATGCTAAAATTTGATTGATTTGAACATGTGTGTTTTTCATTTTACTGGATACTTTGTTATGAAATGTGATCTCGTTTCATCTAAATACAAAGGTTGTCATGGGAATCTCACGTTCAACTATATTTCTCATGGTAAACAGATACACATTCTCATGAAACTGTGCTAAAAAACATCAAGAATTCCAGCTTGATTGCCTTATATAATTTGATTTATATTAGTCGGTGCTAACGAATTTTCAATCCTATTTATCTTTGCTGTTAGTTGGTATGATCAGAATACATGATCATAAATTATTATAAATCATTTTCAGATGATGACTATTTTCATGCTTAACATATTCGTAATGCTCACTTACTCACAAAAATATTCACCTCAGAAAGTTATTGTAGGGATAGTTCAGTGAAAATAAATGAGTAGATGAATGCGACTGTTTATGAATGATTCATTGTTATTGTTCATGCATTGGTTGAATGCTCACGAAAATTATGCGAAAAGCGTTCGAATACGTAGAAATGTTCGATGGAATCAATCATGAAACGGCTACGAGAGCAACAGGGCTTTGAACAATTGAAGCAGAAGAAGAATTGTGGATTACGTGATGTGGGGTGGATTGTGATTATGTGAAGCGCATAATGGCACCACTATCGAATGGTTCATGCCACATGCGAGTGATACATTCCATTGAATGAAAAAAAAACATCATCAAATGATCCCGTAGAAAACAAATCCTCCCAATTAAACAAAACAAAATGGTTGCAGTTGGAAAGCTGATAGTGTCGAAACTTCTATTCAAATTTTCAAGGTAAAGAACCCTAATTTTCTAGTTCACTCAATGAGAATTTGAGTTTGAGCCACTTCGAATGATAGGTCTGCATGAAAATCAATCCGATTTGATTAGTGATGAGAATGTTTAGCGAATGACCGCTTGAATAAGTGGTTCTGAAAGATTCGAACAGTACCAATATTTTCGAGACCAGTCCTTTGTGATTTCATCCACGATTTATGAAGTAACGTCCGCTGGCGAACGCTCAATAACTCATTGGTGTCCTTCCAGCTCAATGAAGAATTCAAGCCATTCGAACGAAACACTTTCTTCGCCGATACACACCCATTCGTTTTATCCGCATCACTTGTTGATGCTCGCTGACCCATATTATAAACACCTGACATGATTTTATGAATTCCATATTTATTTCAACCATGCCTCAGCTATCCAGTAAGGCATTTTGCGAACGACAGATCACGTAATCAAGAACCTACACTAGAAACCAAACACGCTCACAAAATTTTTTAAATCATTTGTTGTCATTTGTCAGTGAAGTATCAAGATGTTTTTCGTGGCCATACCTTTTCAGTGATATCCGTTCTAAATTATTGATCACTCTAAATTATTATT